CCACCATTCCAGGACTCCACGAACTGGGGGGGGGGGGGAAAGGAAGGTCTTGAGCCACGGTGGCAAACACTGCTGTGGCTCGTGGGGGGAAGGAAACTCCGCCCGGAGCCGCAAGGTAAGGGCAGGAAAGGGGGCAATGATAGTGTAATAACTACAGTGCTCGTCGGGGCGTCCGGAGGGAGGCACCACGAGCCGAGCCCGGCGGCGGGGGGCGAGGGGAAGGGCCTGGGCAGCCCCGGCCACGCTCTCACCGTCCGACTCGGCGCGCACCAGCAGCGACATCCCCTTCAGCCGCTCCACGTAGCTGGAGGAGACGTGCCCGGTGCCCCTGTCGTCCCATTGCCGATCCTCGTTGAGCGTGTAGACCTTCACCCGCCGGCGGGTGTCCGACATGGTGCAGCCCCGGGCCCGCTCCGCCTCCGCGGGGGCGATGGGGCGAGGGCGGCGGGGAGCAAGCGGGGCGGCCGGGCCGCTCAGGGGCAGCGCGGGGCCTGCACCGCGCCGCTGTCCATGGCGGGTCGGCGCCGCCGCGCCCCGGCCCGGGCCTCGCTGGCGCCGCTCCGCCTCGGCAGCTACCACAGCGCCGCCGCCATCTTGTAACCCGACTCGGGCCGCCTTTCTCTTCCTCCCCGCCCGGCCACGGGCTCCCCTCGCAGGGGCTACGGCGGCCGCCCGCTGCCGCCGCGCCGCCGACGGGACGGCGGCCACAGGCAGGGGAGGGACGGAGGGACGGGGCGGAGCCCGCGCTCGCTCCCTCACGGCCCCGGGCGGCGCCCGGGCGGGAGCGCGGAGGCGGGGACAAAATGGCGGCGGCCCTCAGTCACAGGGGAGTGCGGGCCGTGTAACACTCCCCCGGCTTCTGAAGGGGGAAATAGTTCACGTGTCCCCCGACAAAAAACTTTAAAAAGATATTTTTTTAACGTCTGTCTGAAAGCTGGTGCCACCGCTGACGAAGCACACGCCTCCCCCCCTCACGCCACAGAAAGTGCCACCCACAACCGTGACACAATGACGGGCGAGCTCCGCAGCCCGGCCACGATAAATTTAAACGGCGCACGAAACACAAACATTGCGTTTCATTTTTAGAAAAAAAAAAAGTCCTTCCTCGTATCACAAAACAGCAGAAAGGTTATTCAGTGGCATCTCCTTACAGCAACAGCCACACTGTAACATACATTCTGTAGATGCCCTGTAGATCCCCAGAAAGCTCAAAAGCTAAACTGAAGTTGAAGCTGTCCTCTGAAACTTCAAAAATCAGAGAAACATGCTTAATTATCCATTATAAACACTACAATTTAAGACAAACCACATGCCAGGCATCGCGGTGTCCGTAAATCTTAGTTTTACACACTAAACACCAGCTACACATCTCTTCTGTGCTACTAATAAAAAATAAATCGCATGTCAGTGTTCGCGTGGGAACAGGGAAAAAGGACACAAGTGATGCAAGAAGTCAAGCTGCGTGAAGCAGTGGGGACTTGGGGGAGGAGGAGAAGCTTGAAAGTGTCTCAGAACCGAGCTTTTGAGGCTCCAAAAGGAAAGGGAGATGGCAGGGCAAGTGCTCCTGAGGCCAGGGTGTGCCTCATTCCCAGACAAAGCCAGACTTCTCTGGCTGTTGCCTCACGGTGAAAGCAGTTACACCGGTATAGCTCTTATTTACAAGGCTGGCATGTCTCTGGTGTAAGTTCGATCTTGTTCCAGAGGAAGGGAAAGAAAGAAAAAATTCACAGCAAAATATGCCACTCTGGGTGACTATGTACAACTTTTCCATAGCTTAAAGAAACATTCTTTACGCAGATTTAGAAAACTCGTATCTATGTAACATTTAAATCTCATCTTTTGCTGACTTTCATTGTAACAGGCCTCTAAGATTTACCATGAATTTTCTTCGCAGAAGATGGCAGCTGTAAGATACACCTCTGAGGAAACTATCATTACACTTAGCTTTAGCTGTATATGAACATAATTTAGGGTATTTTCATCATTATGGATAAATAAGTCTGTATCTATACAAAAGACCACGTTACACCAGTAGTTTCACCAACAATGATTCGAGAGTCATGTTAAGCAGTTTACAGTGGGGTTCCACTCTTCCCCTCTATGCATCAGTGCCTTTTTTGTATTACACAGACTGATCCTCTCAAGGTTTTACACATTGGGCATATTTCTGCCTTAGTGAAAACTCCATAAAAAGAAAATACAAAAAGAAACTAAAACCCCACTGGCCACAGCTGCCTCAGGATATCGGCCACTCACAAACTCTCCCTCCCCTCTGCACGACTTCCATGTGTGCTTTTTAGCTCTTCAAGCCAAATGCACAAAAATAAAGCATGACTTCTACTCAAGATTAAATGCAGTCCTTCTCCAGATATATAAAAGAAACCACAGCAGAATATTCTGGAGCAAATTCTTATCTCACCTATCAGATCTTATCTGTTGTGGTGAACAGCCATAGATAATTCTTATCTATTATGGTGAACAGGTACAGAAGGAGTAGATGATACACGAGGCAGAATTGGCATGAAAAACTATTTATCCTGTTAAGCTGTGAAATAAATCCATGATCCCTCCAAGCAATGAAATCAATGACCTCTGTGGAAAAACATCACTCCAGAACACACCTGCATTGCATTCACTCAGATGTGGGGCTTCCCTTTGCACTACACGGCATCCAGGGGGTTGTGAACCCCAGCGTGACCTGTCATCCATACCCACAACAAACAAGTCCATTCTGGGGGCTTTACCTGGAGAAGACACGCAACACATGCTGCAAGAGCTCTTATGTACCTGATTTAAGACCAGGAAAGCAAGATATCTGAATGTCTGCCCTGTAAGATGCACAGAAAGCAAGGCAGCATTTCCCACCGTGGTGGTGCACCTGCCAGCAGCTCATCCCTCCCCACTACCATCATGGAGGCAGTGATGTTGAGCTCTCTGTTCCTCATCAAACACAGAGGTTGTGTTAGGCAGGCTGCAGACAGAGCAACTCATCAACTGCCACAACACGAGCAGCAGGGAGCTCCCATTTTTTAGTTTTGAGAAGCAAGACAGACAACTCGTTCCTAAATCACTTAAAATTTCTCACAGTGATATTAAGAGACTGCACCACTCCCTCTGGCATGGAATCCCAGAAGTACAATTAGGCCAGCTCTTATGCTTTTGATAGTTCTTGTAATATTTATTGCTGGCATTTAAAGATACCCCAGCTCTTTGTGCCCGTGTGAAAATGTTGCCCTTGTCAAATAAAGGCATTTGTGGCCCTCCTGACCTGCTGTAATGCTGCAACTGCTCAGCTTCACTTTGCAAGGCAATTCCTTTCAATTAAAGGCACTTGTGGCCCTCCTGACCTGCTGCCCAGCTTCGCTTTTCCAAGGCACTTCCTTTCAAAGGCTCCATTTAAGATGGGTCATTACAGGAGCTAATTATCTGAAGCAGCGGAGAAAAAAAAAACAAATCACTATTTCAGACACGAAAAACCAGCTACTGCAGTAGGACTGAGCTGGCTCTGTCAAGCACTATTAACCCACCTGCTTTCTGCTCATGGCTGATATCACCTGAGAGCCCAATCCCTCCTGCCACGGTCCAGCCCGCGCTTCCGACGGCTCCGGGGAGAACCCGGGATGTCTGAACCCAGCCCTGCCTTCCCTCCAGGAAGGCTCAGACCAGCACACGCTTTCTCAGTCCTTGGCTCCCATTGAGCTTCTCTCCTCAGGTAGGAGCAGCTGCTCTCTGCTCCTCCCAGATATTCCCAAGTGTGTTTTTTCCCCACCCCTTCCCATAGGGCCTGGAGGTTGTTACAGGTGCAGAAAGCCAGGCTGACTGTACAGGTTCTGCCACAGCAACATGAAAGTCTTTTTTCCTCCTTTATCATCCAACAAACAAGACAATCCCCAGCGCTCCAGGAGCTGATTTACTGGGAGCAGCACCAACAGGAGCCTTAGAGAAATTTATTCTACAATAAACCTCGGAAAACCACTTAAACTGGGGAGATCAGGTTCTGAAAAGAGTTATCAGAAATGGAAACATCTGAGCTGCTGTTCGGGGACTTTAACAATCACCTACATCATTTTATTAACACTATTCAGGACATGTAACAAACAACATAGCAGTCAACTGTCACAGTCAGAAATGACATTTGAATTCTTATTAAGAAATAACAGAAAACACTCCTCAAAAAAGAGGAAGAGATTGCTGAGGAAATATTTTTTCCATCTTTCCAACCAATTTTTCAATCTTACATGATGAAAGACAACTACAGAGAAGTATACCAGTCATTTCTTTCTTCTTTAATACTTTAAGTTAAAATAGTAATTAAAAAAGAATCTTTTTTTACTGTACATCACTCTCCTCCTCTCCCCAGTGCTCTGTTTTTTCTTTCAGGAGGTTCAGAGCCCACTTGCCATCAGGTGGGAAGCTGATTTTCTTCTGAGTTCTGCATACAGATTGGTGAACATCAGAAGGACCCTCTTTGATTTTCACAGTCTGTACCCACAGCAGAAAAACGAGTCGTTCTCCTGAGCCCCTGGGAAACGTTTTGAAGTCTAAAAGAGATCAGTGAACCCACTGATGGAACATAATTAATAGAGGGATTCCAACACTCTTAATGAGAGTGTTTCAGGGGGAAGGTTTATCACATCCATTGTTTATTCCAAAATAAGTATTTTAATTTTATTGCTTTAATTATATATTTTAAAATTCACTGCCTAACAGACCCAGATAATAGCTGATGGTGTTTCAGCCAGGTTGTTTACCCCCCCTTCTGCTCAGATATTTTAGCAAGTCTGAACCCTATGACAGTCACAGCTGTATTTATCTAAAACAGCATCGATCATGTTAAAGGTGATGCTTCTAAGCCTTTATGTTTTGCTCAACATTTCAATCCTGTAGTCTGAAAAGCCATTCTTGCTTCTCAGATCCACAGTTTTATTTGGACTTGATAGTGAGAGGAATCTTAAGCACTGTCTATAAAGTTCCACATTCTCATCTCAGCCTTGCTACACAAGAGAAGAGCTTTGTTTCTTTCTGGTTTTATTTTAAAGGTTTTTAATCCATTTGAAGACTTTGAAGTTCTACATCACCTTTAAGCATAAATAGTGTCTATTTTAAAAATAGGATTCACTACCATCCACCTGCAGATTCTTGCCAGGGCATCAACAGATTCTAGCAAAAGGTCACTTGTTATTTCCACGAGCCATCACACCTCTTTTCCTGAAAGAGAGAGAAAATACTCTGTAACCAACCGACATCGAGGCACGAGATGCAAAAACATTTCTTAAAAACAACATTTCTTCAGTGAACTTTCATTTTTTCTGCTGCTGTGAATCATTCCTAGAAGACTTCCTCGAGTTATTGCCGGCGCTCTGTGCCTTTCCCTTTGCCAGTCTCACCGTGTAACTTCTCCTGATTTTGAGATGAGACACCTTCCTTTTCTAGCAGCTTTCTAAGGACAAAAAAACCCCACACAAGTTTTGGGAAAAAAATCAGGCATAAGTACTGACAGTCAAATACATGCAGGAAAACTAAGGGAGAGTCTGGGCATTGCATTAATTGACTGAGATCGACTCCATTAATTGACTTCATCAAGAAAGCAGCTTATTTTTCATTTCTTCCTCTGCCCT